TATAGATTTTCTTTTTTAAATTTATGCAAATCATCAACCATATTTTTTTTTGTTATATAGATTATATCTTCTATTTGTCATGATTTTTTTTTCTGTTATGTGGATTTTATTTTTAGTGATTTAAATTTTTAAAAATTAAAAAATTATTGCATATGTAATTCTCAAATATAAGTTCTAGTGTTGTATTATTGGTTGTTGTTTAAAATTTCACTAATATATTATTTTTTATTCATCCTAATTATATAAGAAAAAATTATCTTTGAGTATATATTTTTAATGTGCTTTATATTTTATATTTAGTTCAAAGGAAATTATCTTGAATATAAGAAGAAATTATTAATTCTATATATTGTATTTAACTATTTTTATTTTATGCATTATAGTTTAATATTTAGTGTTATAAACTTAAATATAATAAAATAAAAATATTGATGTTGACTACATTAATTTTTTAATTGATTATATTGAGAAAGATAAGATTTCGAAACAAAATAAATGATAAGTTTCTTATAAATAATTTAATTTTTTATATTCAAAAAAATATTGTCATTGTCAAATAAAACTTTTCTAAAGCACTATTGTCTATTATAAGTTTTTTTTTGTTTCTTTTGATTTACATGTTATATAAAATTATTATCTATTATAAATCTTTTGATTATTAATAGTTAAGTTCAATATATTAGTTTTAAAAATTTTTAATTTTAATTCTCCTTAACTTTTGACCTCCCAATAAAAATTGGTTAGTTTCGCCCCTGCCCTCCACACTGATTGATCTCAAGAACAAGACATCCAATGTTTCGAAAAGGCCTCCCTTTCTTTTTTACCACAACAAACTTGTCCCATGATTCACAACATTCTTATTGACATTGTTATAAAACAGTGAACATAATAAAAAACCAATAACTATATTTTAATTGATAATCAATTTTCAACAAATACAAATTTTAAAATGAAAAGTTTTAAAGTCTTCTTTAAAACCAATTGGATAGGGAGAATTTAAGAGAACTTTTTGACCTAATGCATATAAATGCTGTTACATGCAAAATGACATGCCCATAAATAGAAATTAAGAGTTTAGATTTTATAAGTAATGGCCTTGCAATTAGTTTGAGGTGTTTAATAAACGATTCTGCTAGACCATTTTGTGTATGAACAGGAGTAATAAATTGTTCAACATTTATTTCAATTGACATATAATATTCATTAAAGATTTGAGATGTAAATTCACTAGCATCATCAAGATGAATCTTAATTACAGAATCAGGAAAGTATGATCGCAAACGAATGATTTAGGCAAGTAATCTTACAAATCATGGGTAAAATACCTTAACTCTCCTAAGTTTTGAATGAAATTACATGAAGGTTTATTAATTTTCGAAATGAACACTTCACCCCAAAACTAGAAACATCATTAACATAAATAATGAACAGACTATAATACCTTTTCTTTTTTATTAATTTAAAATTTTTATTATACTTTAAAAAAATAAAAAAAATAAAGAGCACTAATCTGTGCTTCCCAGCTCCACAAGAAAATGGAGCATCGACCAAGGGACAGGAGCACTAGATCGGTGCTCCCCTTAGGGAACTCGATTCTCCTTTAGAGAGCCACGATCGGGCTCCCCAAGGGGAACACTAGATCTTGTGCTCCCTTAGAAAGTCTGATCAGGGCCCCCCAAAGGAGCTTCGGCACTCCCCAGTGGGAAGCTTTTTTTTTTTTTTAACTAATAAAAAATAATAAAATTATATAATTATAATTATAAAAATTAATCAAGTGTAAACTTATATTTCTATCTTAGCCACGTTAACAAGTTGAAAAAAATACTAACAGTTGGACCTACGTATTCAGCGAAAAATATTTTTTTGGGATGAAGTGTCCATTTCGAAAACTAATAGACTTACGTATAATTTCTATCAAAACTTAAAAGGGTCAGGGCATTTTATTCTAAAATCATTAGTAAACTTCAAGTTTATTATAGTATGAGTTTTAATCATTCTAATATTGTGTAGTACAATCTAGAGAATAAAACAGGTAATTTTTTCAACACATACTTTCTACTCGAGATAATAGATATAATATAGAGGTATTAAATGTCTTTTTCATTTATTTTCTCAATATGATATATATTCCGACAAATATTTTTAAAACTTAATAAACTTCTTTGAGACTTAGTAGAAAATAATATATCCTCTATTATAAACTTTGTTCCTTTGGGTAATAAAATATTAGCTCTTCTGATGTTTTTAATTAATCTTGTACTATCAGATATTGTATTGACATTGGTTTTATCCATTGTCAAATGAGGAAAATATTTCTTGTTTTTAAATATAGTGTGCACTGTAGCAATGTTTGCAAGACATATATTTACATAATGAATCTTAGATCCAATAAGATGAATATCCATATTTTTTTCAATAAAAAAATATATACAATAAGAAACTTACAAATTAACATAAAAGAACATTAAATATAGAATTAAAATACATAATTAAAGCATATCATTTAAATATAATGAAAACATATAAAAGTATCTTTATAAAAATAGTTATACTAAAATATACCAACTATTAGTAAGAAATTTCATTATTGGTATTTCTATTACCAATCAAATTATCAATTCCTTTTTCAAGGTGAACAAGAAGTCAATAATGGATATTTTCATTACTAATTATATGATCAATTCCTCTTTTAAAGTAAACAAGAAAATCAATAATGTCTTAATGTGTTTTTTAACTTTCAGTGATACTTGATAAAATTTAAAACATATAAATACGTAACCAATAGCGTTTCATACCATATTGATGACAAGATATCTTCTGCATTCCTTTCATTCTGTCCACTTTTATCTTTTTATTATATCTTTTCAACATTCATCCATCCCTTAGTGGATTAAAACTATTCATCCACCTATTGTGGATTAGAAATTTTCATCCACTTTTAATGAATAAAATTATCCATCCACTTCTAGTGGATAAAATGTATTCTTAAAATTAGAAAAGTGATAGTATATATTATTATGACGACCACTTCCATATTGATTAAATGATATTGCATTCATTTTAGGGAATTGACAGTTATATGATTTTTTTTATTAATAACTCTTTTGTCTCATTCGCGAATAAACATTAATGATTTTTCATTAATAACTATATAATAGCAAAGTCACTTTAATTCAAATTAAGGTTGATTTTTAGAAAATAAAAATATTAAAGAGATATTAAGTCACTTACTTGATTTTTTTAAATTAGAAATTAAAGACCAACTATTGAAATCCTTCAAAGGATAAAGATGATGAAAACAAAATAATAACCACACTTACTTGATTTGCTAAAATTAGATATCAAAACCAAATCATTGAAATCCTTTTGAAACTTGAAGATTATAGAACATAATAATATCAAAACTTGAAAGATTAGAGAATTGTGTTGATAACGTGTTATAAAATATAACTTGAAATAATAATTATAAGGGAAATATAAGAGAAAGTATTTAGAGGAAGAGAAAATATTTAAAGAGAGTAAGAAGATCATATTCAAGTATGTATTTACAAATGAAGTGAGGAGACCTATTTATAGACTAATAATTTCTTATCTAAATAGAATTTAGAACATAAAAATAATATTAAAGGATTAGATGGATGAATTAATTTCTAAATTTAATTCAATCTAATTTATATCCAAATCTAGATATATATATATATAATATAAATAGATATTTACAAAAATATTCGTAATAAAATTAATTTTGTAAATATTTCAATTTTTTTAAAAAATTATTTATTCTAAAATTATTTTTAATATGTAAATTTTTCCTTATGATGAGAAAGGG